GTGAGCGAGGAGCTCGCGTACTTCGGCGCTGCGCGGACGGGCGCGCTGCGAGAGGGGGGGGATCGCACGAGATTGCGCGAGATTGCATGACAACGAACTCGTTGATGACTAGGCACTCTGCACCGGCGGGAGGGGATGGCGTCGGCAGCGCGACGGGGTTCGACCTGGAAGGCGAAAGGGGCTGCATCTCGGTCATATCTCGGCCGAATCTCGATCAAATCTCGGTCAGACCTCGGCCAGACCTCGGCCAGACCTCGGCCAGATCTCTGATCTCGCCTGACGTCGGTCAGAGTCTGATCTCGGCTAGATCTCGGCCAGATCTCGGCTGAGCTCGGCGCATCTCGACGGAAAGGCGCGGTGGGCGGTGCTGCGGCCTCCGCACTTGCTTCTGTACGACAAGCCGCCGGAGCTGCGGCCGAGCACATGCAAGGAGCCCGCTTAGAGACAGCTTAGAGACAGCTTAGAGACAGCTTAGAGACAGCTTAGAGACAGCTTAGAGACAGCTTAGAGACAGCTTAGAGACAGCTTAGAGACAGCTTAGAGACAGCTTAGAGACAGCTTAGAGACAGCTTAGAGACAGCTTAGAGACAGCTTAGAGATAGCTTAGAGACAGCTTAGAGACAGCTTAGAGATAGCTTAGAGATAGCTTAGAGACAGCTTAGAGACAGCTTAGAGACAGCTTAGAGACAGCTTAGAGACAGCCGAGAGGCAGCCGAGAGGCAGCCGCGAGGCAGCCGAGAGGCAGCCGAGAGGCAGCCGAGAGGCAGCCGAGAGGCAGCCGAGAGGCAGCCGCGAGGCAGCCGAGAGGCAGCCGAGAGGCAGCCGAGAGGCAGCCGAGAGACAGCCGAGAGGCAGCCGAGAGGCAGCCGAGAGGCAGCCGAGAGGCAGCCGAGAGGCAGCCGAGGGATCAGCCGATCTAGCTTGCCTTTCCCCCCTTCCTTGCCCCACCGCCCGCCTGCTTGAAGAGACGCCGTTCACACCTGACGCCGCTGTGAACAGGAGCTCGCGCGCGGCGAGGCGCGGGTGGAGGAGGCGTCGAAGCCGCCGAGAGACAGCCGAGGCGAGCCCCGTCACATCGGTTGTGATCTTCGAGCTCTCATGCTCGACAGGCGTCGCTGATCCTCGCGTTTGCGGGCGGGGACGGTTCCTTCCTCCCCTTAGCTCCCCCCCTTAGCTGCGCGCTTCCTCGACTCACATTCGTGTGCCTAGCAGATTGGCGTCTGTTCGCCTCAGGCTTGCTCCTCACCATGCCATCTCCCCATATCTCCCCATACCTCCCCATATCTCCCCGTATCTCAGGCTCGCTCCTCACCTTGCGCGCCTTCTCCGAGTCCGCGTTGCTCAGCTGAGATCTAGCCGAGATGCAGCCGAGATGCAGCCGAGATCCGTCCGAGATCTGGCCCAGGGGCATCGGAGTCAGCGCTTGTGAACAGCGCCTGTCAAAGCAGCGCCCGTCTCACACCAACGAGCCGTGCGTGTCTAGCCTGTGTCTGTGTATCCCTCCAGTGTGGCCGTGTCTCCGCCTCGCTTGCATCCGCCCGTACCGCCTGCTGGTGCCCAGTGGCTGGTCAGACTGCCGTCACACCTCTAGCTAACTAGCCGACGCGCGCGCGCCCTTCCATGCCCAGTTAATTGTTAATGATTCATTGTTCATTACTCATTAGCCGTGAACAGGCTGGGTCAACGCGCTCGCCCAGTTCGGCGTGCCGGTGCGCTGGACCTTCCCCGACGGCCGCGTGGGCAGGATTGCCGTCGGAAGGCCGCCGCCGCTCGACGACTTCATCACGGGCTGAGAGACTCGCCGGGCCTCCGGGCAATGGGGAATGGGGCAATGGGCCACACGCCTCTCTGCTTTTCGGCGCAGCTACGGCAACCACGAACATCGGTGCGTGTGGCGTTGGCGAAGGCCGAAGCCATAGGGTACGTATACGTTCGTCCCGCTCGTCGTGGGTGGGCCAGAGCCTTTAATTTGTTTAAAAACGAAAGCCCATTCACGTACGGGGTGTGGAGAGGGTGTTGAGTGCTCGAGTCTTGCTCTTGGCGACGATGTTCGCCGAGCGGTACTTTAGCGCGTACTGTGCTGCATGAATGCTTGCCCAGGTGTGAACAACACCTCGTGACCACGGCGCCGCAGGCGCCTGTTGATGGGTCCAGGTGATAGCCCTGGATGGGCAATGCATACGCCTAGTTGAACCTCAGATCGCCCGACCGCGTCCCGGTGCTCTGTGGTCGGATTTGTGACGCCGCCGCACCGCGCCGCGGCCGGGGGCCCTCCGTCCGGAGGCCAAGGATGGCCGTGGCGGACCGGGACGAGCTCTGGGAGGTAGAGTGTCAGTGTATATATTGTTAAAAAAAGTAACAATACAGGGTTCGCGAGGGGGGTCGCCGAGGCGCCCAGGGCGCGCGGGGAAGCTCGCAGGGCGTTGGGTAGCTATGCCTCACGTGCAGCGCCGACGGTCGGGGTCGGCGGAGCACGCCAGCGGCAGGAGAGCGCCTGGGTCCCAGTGGGACCCGGGTCCCAATATTCGTTCCGGTGTCCCATTCGGGTCCCATTGCGATTGACATGTCACAGTACCAGTTGCAAAATGTCACACACATATGGGCCAAATGTCGACGGGGACGGGGAGGGCGACAGCGACGTCGAGGTTGACGCAACGGTATCGAGAGCGCCACCCAAAAGGTCGCGGACAGCCATGGAGGTCACCGAATGGAGGGCGAACGGCACGATACGAAAAGGCAGGGCGAGGCGGATGGAGAAAAAAGTGCCGAGGAGGCCATGGTGGAGGGGAGGGACGGCAGGACGAAAGAAGGGCGAGGAGGACGGGCGGCCCGCACAGGCCGCGAGCAGACAGCGCCTGCCGGCCATCTCGAGACATTCGCAAAGAACGCTAGCTACATGGGAAGGCTTCGTGAAGGATGCACCGCAAGCGAGGCGGCTCCGACACGTGGCCGTGCGCTGTCCACCAATCCGGCATGCACAGAGTGCACGGATGTAAGCAGCCCCAGCATGGAAGCAGCCGGCTTTGCCTGCGACCAGTACTCATACGCGTACACCAACCGCTGCAAGCACAGCCCCCACTGGGTGAACCAAAAGTACTGTCGGCGCTCGTGCTTTGTCAACGGAGCGGGCTATGATGGCGACGTGTGCTGTGTGGCCGAGATCCCGTGCACAGAGTGCACGGATGAACGCAATTCCTACATGGAGAGGGAGGGCTTGACGTGCGACGAGTTTCCCTACGCTTACGAGAAACTCTGCAAGTACAACGAATACTGGGCATCGCAACAATTTTGTCGGCGCTCATGCTTTGTCAACGGGGCAGGCTACCAAGGCGACGTGTGCTGTACTCCACCGCCGCCCCCGCCGCCGTCCCCGCCCAGCACCTACTCCACCGCGACGAATACTGCGTCGGGACATTACTCCACCGCGTTTGGCTACCGCACGACCGCCTCGGGCAACTTCTCCTCCACGGCACTGGGCTACCACACCGTCGCCTCGGGGCCGACGTCGACTGCGATGGGCGACAGCACCACGGCCAAGGGCGACACCGCTATGGCGATGAACGCCCAGACCACCGCATCGGCCTTCGCCTCCACTGCGATGGGCTTTGGCACCACCGCCTCGGGCGACCACGCGACGGCGATGGGCTGGGACACCGTCGCCTCGGGCTACAGCTCGACGGCGATGGGCTTCTCGACCGTGGCGGAAAGCTGGGGGGAGACGGTGGTCGGGCGATACAATGCGCGCAGCGCCTCCTCCGTCCCGTACTTCTGGGCGACAAGCGATGCGGCCTTTCGCGTGGGCATCGGCAGCTCCGAGGCCAACCGCAAGGATGCATTCACAGTTTTTAAGAATGGTACCGTCGTCATCAACGGCGACCTGGCGATCTCTGGCAGCGTCAGCCGCTCTGGCTCTACCCGCCGCCTCTTTGCCTCGGATGGCGGCGCGGCGAAGGAGAAGGTTGCCTCGCTGGAGCAAAAGATTGCCACGCTCGAGGCTGGCGCCGCAAGGCAGCGGGCGACGGAGCAGCGGCTTGCCGTGCTCGAGGCGACGGAGCGGAAGCTCCTCGAAAGGCTCGACGGGCTCGAGTCGGCGCATACAAGGGAGCTAGCCGCCGCCCAGCAGAAGCTTGAAGCGACCGAGCAAAAGCTCGCCGCCCTCGAGGCGGCAGTGGCAGCGCTGAGGCAGCCCACGTGAGGAGGTTGCGCAGGGGCCGCCGTCGGAAGCGTGGCCGCGGCGGAGCCCGAGCTGCGCCCACGCTTCGCTCTCGCCGCCATGTCACCGCCCGAGGACCCCTTGTTCTCGTCAGCGATAGACAGAGGAGGAGGACAGGTCGCTGCATTAGCGCAGAGGGTGCCGGCTTGTCATAGTGCGAGGCCAACGCGGAGCAGCTCAGGCGACAAACCAAAGCGAAAGAGCTGCCGCACGGGAGGAGTTCACTATGGAGACGGATGGGTGCCTGAGCTGCTCCGCGCTTCAACGGTCTCGCCGTTCTCGCTCAGGCAGCCAAAGGCGTCGAGGTGGCACCGCGGTGTTCGGGCGCTGTGCTCATGCCTTGGGCGCCGTACGCTCTGGCTCAAGGCGGCCCCCGGGAGGCCGCGCGGCCGGCTAACCTGCCGTTGGCAAGTGGCATCCTCGAGCCTCCGCACACGCCGCGGATCGCCGTATAGTTACGGCCCACGCGCCACGGACGGCACGCCACGGCCACACGTGCAGGCCCTCACGGCCCACGACGCGCTGAGATTCGTCGCCACCGGTGTCGCTAAGCGCGGGTGAAGGGAACGACGCGGCGTGCTCGCAAAAAAGATTACATATAGCCCATCCGAACCATACTCCGGCCACCTTCCTGTTCCTCACCACCAGGAGGTGCGTGCGCGCAAGGTCTTTTCTCTAAGCGTCTGGCGCGGCTGCGCGGGCTTGCAGCCTTGCCGTAGCGCCCTGGCTGCCCCGGCTCCACAGCGCGCGCCGAGCCCCTCCCCCCTCCCTCTCCCCGGCTCTACTTCTACGCCCAGTCGGCTTCCCACGTGAGCTGCGCGTCCTTGAGCCCCTCCTTGTACGACCTGCTTCACAGCAAGGCGTGTGAAGAGACGCCGTTCACGCCAAGCGCAACCCCATGTCCATGTCCATGTGTGCTGGGGATGGATAGGGGACGAGGAGGGAGGGGCGGCGGAGGGGCGATTGAAGGCGGGTGATCGAGAGGAAAGGATGTGTGGACAGGGTGGTTTGAAGGGGAAGGCTGATGGTGTCTCAGTCCCCTCATCTCGCATCGCATCTCGCATCGCATCGCATCTCGCATCGCAGCTCGGTTGAATCTCGGCTAATCTCCACTTGTTGTCCGGGTCGAGCTCGAGCGCCTTCTCCCACTCCTAATGCCGAGGTGAGCCGAGGTCAGCCGAGATGCAGCCGAGATCAGCCGAGGTGAGCCGAGGTCAGCCGAGGTCAGCCGAGATCAGCGGAGATCACCCGAGGTCAGCCGAGATCAGCCCAGCGTCTCCCGCCCCGAACCCACGCTATCCCCCGCGCTCTCTTTTCCTTGCAGCTTCTCTTTGCTTCTGCCCCCCCCCCCCGCGCTCCCGGCACTCGCCAGCTCCACGGCCATGTGTACCAAGGAAGAAAGGAGTAAACTCACGGCGCGTGCGCGCGCCTGCACCGCCAGCTTCACCGTCGCTCGCTCGCCCAGCTCGAGGTGCGCCTGTTTTCACACCGCGCCGCTGTGAAGAGGCGCCGTCCACAGCCGCCGAATCTATCTCGGCCGTCTCTCGGTCTTCTCTCGGCCATCTCTGGGCGATCTCTTCGGCCATATCTCGGCGATCTCTTCGGCCATATCTCGGCGATCTCTCGGCGATCTCTTCGGCCATATCTCGGCGATCTCTCGGTCATCTCTCGGCGATCTCTCGGCGATCTCTCGCCTGCGCCGCCCGCACGTACGCCTTAGCGTAGAGGTGGTCCATCTCGTACGCGAGAACCTGTGATTAACAAATTAATTAACCAGTCATTGAGGAAGTGGTCCATCTCGTACGCGAGGACCTGTTTAATTAACGCATCCATTAACGAATTGGTTAACCAATCATGGGTGGAGGTGCTCCATCGGTACGTACGCCCGCACCTATAAGCCAATGGATGCGATGCGTCCACTTCATCGTTCGATTCGTGCGTCGTCTCTCGGCGAATCTCGGCGAATCTCCGCCACCGAATCCTCCGCCGCCTGCTTCAGCATCTTGCGCGACTTGATCTTCAGCGCCGCAGCGGCGCGGTTGCCTATTAATTAATTAACGTGATTAATTAAAACTGCTTGCTATCAATTGACTCGACCTGTCAGGCGGATGCGAGATCGACCGAGATATGCCGTCTTGCGCGGGTTGAGTCGGATCGCCTCGGAGGAGAGGTCGTAGCAGCGCTGCCAGTCCTTCGCCTTGAACGCCTTGACTGCCTGGTCGTTGAACCCCTCCGCCGCCTCCCTCGCCCCCTCGCTCTGCGAAGTCAAGTCCGGCCGGCCCTTCGGCTTCGCGTACGCCTGTTCACAGCCAGCCTGTGAAGAGACGCCGCCCCCCCGCCCGCCCCTTCGGCTTCGCATACGCCGCCTTGGGCGCACCGCCGCCGCCGCTGCCGCCGCCGCCCCCGCCAAAGCCCACTCCTCCCACCGTCTCCCAAGGCCTCGCGTCCCTGTCTGCTCCCACCTGCGCCTTCGCCCCAAACTGGTCGAGCAAATCTTGAGTCTCGACGTGCCTCACAATCTGCCCTCCATACGCGTCGCCTGTTCAAAGCCCGCCGTCTGTGAAGTCGTCGCCGTCGCCTCGGCATCTCACCCCCCCAACCCGCGTCACCGGAAGCGCTGCCGTCGTATCCCAGCTCGGCCTTTCCTCTGTCCTCGAGCCCGCGCCTGCTCACACCTCCAGCCGTGAAGAGAAAACCGCCCCACCGCCCAGTGCCTTGGTCCTCGAGGCCCTCGCGTCGTGTGGTACGCCGAGCCGGTGTGCACGTGGTAGGACGGGTCCTGTTCACAGCTGCAGCCATGAAGCGACTCGACCTGTCGCCACCCCACTGGCGCTGGAAATGAATTGGTCCTCGCGGCTGCCCGCGTTCCACGGGATGGAGAGGTTGACGCCGAAGTCTTGGTGCGGCCGGTAGTCGCCCCGCTTTTTAAGCAGCATCTCGACCTGGTCAGGCCGTGGCACAATCTCGCGCAATCTCGTGGGTGTGCAGATGCACCAGATGGAATCTCGACCTGACCAAATCAGTAGCATCGCTAACCAGTGGCTGAAGAAGCTTGCGCGTCGAATGAGCAGCACGACGGGGCCTGGTAAGGGTCGGCGCCTGTTCACACCTCCAGCCGTGACGAGACGCCGCCCACGCCGTGGTCTGTGGTGTCAATCTCGTGCACTCTCGTGCACTCTCGTGCAATCTCGCAATGGCGCCCTTGAGCGCCATCACCAGCACGTCCTCGAGCGACTGCATCGGGGGGATCGTGAAGGACTCGGACCACCTGGGAGATGGCGAGACATGGGGAGGTGTGCGGAGACATGGGGAGGTGTGCGGAGGTGTGCGGAGAGATAGGGGAGAGATGGGAGGTGTGCGGAGGAATCGTGAAGGACTAGGACTGAGAGGTGAGTTGAGGCAAGGTACACTCTACAGAAGGCGGCGGGGGGCGGGGCTCTCTCCATCCCACATGAAAAGAGCCCGCCCAATGCGCGTGTTGTGGGTGTGAGTGGGGGCGGGACGGGGGGACCTGTTATCACTCGTCCGCACGAATTGGTCGCCGGCTTGGGCCGCGGCGCGCGCTCGGCGAGGCCCGCCGTTTGTAGTCGAAGTTGTTTGTCGTCAGCGTATGGTACGCCGCGTTGACAGCCTTGAACACCTCCGCCGCCGCCTGGGGGGGCGAGATCGAGCCGAGATGCGGGGTCGAGCTTCTGAGACGTGTAGCTACCGGAGACCCCTTGCGTTGTTTTAAGTTACCACTTTGCGTTGTTCTGTGTTCTCTTTGCGAATCCTATGCGACCTGCGACCTCTCTGCGATCTTTCTGCGCTCCCTGCGATCTCTCGGCGATCTCTCGGCTAGTCCTCCACCTCTGGCCGGCGGATGTTCTTGTCGGGGTGCCACTTGAGGCTCATCTTGCGGAACCGCATCTTCAGCTTCTCGAGGCTGCCTGAGGGAGGAAGGCTCCAGGCAGGCTCCCACGGGCTCCGAGAACGCGAAAGACAGTGACGTGTCTCGGAAGTGTCTCAGAAGCGTCTCGGAAGTGTCGCGGAAGCGTCTCGGTGGTGTCTCGGAGGCGTCTCGGGGTTCTCGCCTCGGTCGGGCGGCGCGATGCCGAGGAACTCGTACGCCGCGTCGACCGTCATAGGCAGCGGCGGCACCTGTCCCAAACGGTGTCGGCTTCGGACGCCTGTGGCGGCGCCGCTGCTGCCGCTGCCGCACAGAGAAGGTGTGCGTGTGCTGCGTGCGTGCGTGCTGCGCGAGCCGCGGCGGCTGCGTCTGCGGGGAGGCGGCGCGCCTTCGGCAGCGGCTCCTCCTTCTTCTTCTCCTCCTCCGCCTGCGCCTCCTTCTCCGCCTTCGACGGCCCAAACACGGCGCTCATGTCTGGGAGAGAAGCGGCATCGTACGGCACGCCCTCCTTGGCGTTCCGCTCCTCAAAGTAGGCGCCACCGCCCAAAGACATAGCGGCCCGCTGCGCGTGCGTGGAGCCTGTGTAGAGCGGTCACGCGGGCGGTCGCGCGGGCGGTGGCGGCGGCGAGAGCGGCGTCCGCTGCGAGCGGTGGTGAGAGACCGGACGCAGGCGAGGGCTGGCAGAGGTGCGTACGATACAGTGGCAATGGGTGTTTCTACTGCTGGAGGGGCGGAGGGTGGCAGGGAGGCGGGCGAGAACCCGCGAGGAGGCAGCCCGTTTTTGTGGGCCTGAAAAAAGAAGAATTCTGCCACGCCTCTCTCACAGCACACTGGCACGACAACACAGAGAATGACGCGACGGAGGAAGTGACAAGGGAGAGAACGACGAGAATGGGACGGCCGCGAGGTGGCATGAAGGTTGCAGCGAGAATCGGCGAGAGACTGCGAAAAGAGATAGGAAGAGGCAGACTCCCTAGGGTGGGCGACGGCTAGCGCATCACACTCCTCTCCTTAAAATCCCTGTGTGGTGGCGGCGTGCCGTCCTCCCATCCCTCCCTTGGGTTGTCTGTTTTCTTTCTTTCTTTCTTTTACTGGCACGACAAGGGTGCCGCGCTGGTCAAGGCGGCGTTGGCGAGGGCGGCCGCATTGAAGCAGGCGAACGCACGGACGGCGGGAGATGTAGCTGCTGACGCCGCAGTTCTTGGCACGGCAGATGAGCTGGCGAGCGCGCAAGCGGATGCTTCGACCCAAGAGGGGCAGAAGCTGGAGGACGCGAGTGCCCAGGCAACCGCAGCCCCTGCTGCTCCAACAGAGCCGGCAGCCGCCCTCCCCTCCGCCACCGATCTCGGCGTGAGCGAGGAGAAGCTGGAGAAGTGGCGCAAGTTCGGCGGTGGCGACCTCGAGCCGGTCCTCGCGAGCGGCGCCGTCGCCCTCCTCGACGCGCAGTGGATCATCCGCCACGCCGAGGCGGGCGGCGTCCTCACCCACCGCCAGGCGCTGCCCGAAGAGGCCTTCCTCTCCCTCGCCGACCTCGTCAAGGCGACCGGCGAGGATTGGCTTCCCGTCGCCGCGCTCTCCTACCCGTGGCTGACCAAGGACCACCCCGACCCGCTCGGAGCCAACCTCGCCCGCGTCGCAAGGGCGCTCAAGGCCCTGCTCAGCGATCCCGACCTCATCACGCGGCTCGGCGTCTTCTGGGACTTCGGCTCGCTGCACCAGCACCCCGACCCCGCCAACGGCGTCCTGCGCACCGAGGAGCAGAACGCGCTCTTCAAGCAGGGGCTGGGCTGCCTCGGCACGCTCTACTCCCACCAGCACACGTTCGTGCTGCGGCTGACCTCCTTCCCGGACGGCCACAAGGCGGAGGATCAGACCGAGGGCACCAACGTGGCCAAGTACTTTGACCGCGGCTGGTGCTTCACGGAGCAGTGCTGGGCGGGCCTGACAAAGGCCGGCTTCCTCTCGCTCGACCTCGGCAAGATGCGCGTCGGCACGGAGTACGGCATCGTCAGCCTCATTGACGACTGCAGAAAGGATGGCGGCCGGCGCCCTCCGCTGCTGCCGTCTGCGTTCGCGGCGGAGCTTGAGAAGAAGAGCTTCACCAACGGCAAGGAGGACTATCCGCTGGTGAAGGGGTTGTACAAGGACGCCTTCGAGGAGCAGTTTGGCAAGGCGACCGTGCTGGACTACACCGGCCTCGGCTGGGGCGACGCGGAGACGGCGCAGCTGGCGGAGGTCCTCGCGAGCGGGGCAGCGCCGCGGCTCGAGTACCTCGGGCTCGGCGGCAACAAGATTGGCGACGAGGGCTGCAAGGCGCTGGCCGCCGCCCTCGGCAAGGAGGGGGCAGCGCCGCGGCTCAAGACGCTCAATCTCGGCGGCAACCAGATTGGCGACGAGGGCTGCAAGGCGCTGGCCGCCGCCCTCAAGGAGGGGGCAGCGCCGCGGCTCAAGACGCTCAATCTCGGCGGCAACCAGATTGGCGACGAGGGCTGCAAGGCGCTGGCCGCCGCCCTCAAGGAGGGGGCCGCCCCGAGCTTGAAGGCGCGAGAGACGCCACCCCTCGCCACACGCCCCTCCCCCGCCCGATGCTCATCGCACCTCCCCACGCGTGCAGACGCTCTGGGTGCGCAACAAGAAGCAGCCTGAGCTGGTGGCCGTGTGCGAGGAGCGCGGCATCGACCACGAATGAGCCTCTCCAGCCCCGCCGGGCGGCAAGGGCGCGGGGCCCGGTGGGACCGTCGCGCGAGCACAGCAGAGAGCAGCAGACGCAGCCAGAGCTGGTGTCCGTGGCGAGGAGCGCGGCATCGCGCTGCGCTGAGCCGCCCCCGGGCGACACGAGCGATGGCTTGGGATGAGGGGGTTGGGATGATGCTTGATGGATGAGATTTGGTGTGTGCCGACAGCCGAGAGCCGACTGCGACTGGTGTGTGGGGTCGTGGTTTCGCATGGGGACGGTGGTTGCCCGTTGAGCAGTCACCCGCGGCCGGACTCAATCACGTTGCTGGGCGCTCAGACCCCCGACCCCTACCGGCGGGGGAACCGAATCCAGATCTGATGGCGGCCTCGTTGCAAGCGTGGCGGCGGCGCGTCGAGCCGCTGCTGCTGCTGCTCGCCGCGTCGGCGGCGCACTCGCTCGCCGTCGGCCGCGCCTCTGCGCCCTTCCTGCTGACCGCGCCTCGCCGCGCCGTCGCCTGCGCGCCGCGCATGGCCGCCGCACCGAGCGACGACGCGGACGGCGACGGCAAGGTGGCGCCGCTGCTGTCGCTCAAGTCCGGTCCGGGGATCGACCCGGTCGAGAGCGACGAGGACGACGCGGTCACGGACCCGCGGCTGCGCACCTTCGACGTCGGCCCCTTTGCCACCACGATCGGCCTCCGAGACAGGGACGCGGCCGAAGAGCCGAACTTTCTGCAGCGCGAGGACTGGTCGGTGGTGTCGACGTACTCGGCGGAGGAGCTGGCCGCGCTGTCGAGGGAGGCGCTCGAGACGAAGAGCGGCGCCGAGGCCATCGAGGAGGTGACGGAGGTGGAGACGGCGGAGTATGTGGAGCCGCAATACAAGTGCGAGCTCCGCCGAGATCCGCCGAGATCGGAGGAGATTGGTCGAGATCCGCCGAGACCGGCCGAGATCCGCCGAGATCGGTCGAGATCGGACGAGACTGGTGGAGACTGGTCGAGAAGGACGATGCATGGCGATGTCCGATCTCGCCCATATCTCGCCCATATCTCGCCCATATCTGAACCATATCTCGCCCATATCTCGCCCATATCTCCGCAGGTACATGAAGTACGATGAGGGCGACATCCCGGACGCGCCTTACGCGGCGCAGCACCCGATGCCGACCAGCTGGCAAGAGTACCAGGCGCCGCCTCATGCAGTAGTTCACACTTAGTCAATGTCTCAATGGTTATGAAGTAAGCAAACTGGCAAGAGTACACACACGCACACACACACACACACACTCACGCACACACACACACACACACACACACACACACACACACACACACACACACACACACACACACACACACACACACACACACACACACACACACACACACACACACACACACACACACACACACACACATCACATTTGAATGCCGTGCGGCTCCTGTCGTCTAGACGTGGAGTCGCGAGGGACTAGCCTGGCCCTTGCCCCGCCACCTCGTGTGTGTGTGGAGAAGCTGACCGTACCGTACCTTACCTTACCTTACCCTACCCACAGGCGCTGCAGCAGCGGCTCGCCGTGTTCGCGCGAGGGGAGGGCGAGGCGGCGCCGCCGCGGCGGCGAAAGGCCGATCTGATCAACCCACTCTCATTGACTAGTGGTTAGTTATCAGGCGGCGCCGGCGCAGCGGCGGAGGGCGGCGGAGCTTGGGGAGAAGCTGACGCGGTTCTACGACACCTTCAAGGCGGTCCTAGTAGTGAGCAACAGCTGCCCATGATTAAGTAACGTGTAGCTAAACGCGCGGTGACCCCCTCTCGCGGCGATCCTAAGAATGAGCAATTGCCAGTAATGAATAACCTTCACTAACCGTGGTGCCCCCCCCCCCCCCCTCCAAGGCGATCCTTGCCGAAGGGTGGAAGCTCGACGGCGACCCCTCGGTGGATAAGGCTAAGCCGCTGCTGCGACCCCCTAATTAGCCATTCATTATTCCTCACAGGCGACCCCTCGGTGGACGAGGCGCAGTCGCTGCTGCTGGAGCTCGACGCGGCAGGAGGCGCCGCCGCAAGGATTGGCAGCGAGGCGTCCTTCGAGGCGACGGGGATGGCGCCGGGCGACGCAGGATGAGGCATCGCGGCTGGAGAGAGCCGGGTGCCGTTGAGGCGACGGCCGGAGAGAGTTGGGTCTTTGGCTCGTCTGGTCTTTCTGTCCGCACGTTGGCCCAACTGTAGCAAACTCTGGTCGTTAGAATCAAATCAACCCTGGTCCACGGGGCTCGTTCAGTGTGGCGCATAGCGGCTATGGATAGCGTCTGGGCGCGCTCGTGGCTCGAGTGTTCTTTTTCCCGCTGCAACGAGTCAACTGCGAACTGGGCCACGCCGGCGAGGGAGATGCGCTCCAGCGAGGGTCGCGTCCACTTGAGGGGTAGACTTGACCGCCCGAGCAGAGAGGGCGACGGCGGAGCACGAGGGGGCAACGGAGACGCTACCGATGACGCGAACCGAGGCACGGGCGACGGCGGGGACGGGGACGGGGAGGGCGACAGCGACGTCGAGGTTGACGCAACGGTATCGAACTGGTTGGGTAGTAGTCTAAGTTCTGAGCCTCGAGGCTGAGCGGGTCTAAGTGTGACTAGTCACGCTGGGGTGCTTACGCGGTCTAAGATCAGCGAGAGCCTCTTACATCGGCTAAGTCGGCCGTGGCACAGCCTGGGGCCAAGAGGCTCCCACCGTGATCAACGATACGGCGCTAGCCCCCAGCGGCGGCAGCGCGCGCGCGGCGCGCGCGACGGGGGGGCGGAGCAGCGACCGCTGGCGCGGCCGCTGCTCCGTCTGTGCCAGGGACGCGCGCTCTGCGCCGCTGCACAGAGCGCGCGTCAGGGCAAGGGGCATGCGTGGCGGCGCGGGACGCGCGGCGGCGGCGGCGAGCACGCTCCGTGAGCGGTGAGCTGGCGGTGAGGCGGCCGGGCGAGGGCGCGGCGGGTGACGGGTCAAGGGAGCAGCCCACACCCGGCGTCGCTTTTTGAGCGACGCCTGTGGTACGCCTGCGCAGGGGCCGCAGGGCGGTCAGTTGTGGGGCGAGGCGGTGCCGGCCGCGGGCCGGGTGCAAGGCGCCGGCCTCGGCGCCGCCTCGGCGCGCCGCACGGGCGCGGCGAGCCTCTGAGCGGGAGCCGAAGGTTAGCCGCGGTGGTAGGTGGTAGGTAGGTAGGTGGGGGTGAGTTGACTTTGCCGCAGAGATGTAAAGTATTTTCCACCTGGGTTCGGACTTTTTGCGGGGTATGGTATGGTACGCTCGCGCAACCCACCTCGAGACCATACCCCCCCGCCTGCTGACAGACCCAGCCTCCCGGAGACCGGGGATGGGCGGTCAGGACCATACCCCCCCACCCTTTGGGCCGCGAACACCATACCATACCCCGCAAAAAGTTGGTGCCCTGTGTCCTTGAAAGTCGATCGACATCTCACGATGGGCTGCTTCTCCAGCTTCGTCGAGGCCCCGACCGAGGAGCTGCCCGGCCCTCCCGCCGTCGAACTCGACGCCCCGACGCCCGCCGACACCGCCGCGCCGACGCAGCCGGCCGCCGCCCTCCCCTCCGCCACCGATCTCGGCGTGAGCGAGGAGAAGGACAGTGAGGAGGAGGAGGAGGAGGAGGAGGAGGAGGAGGAGGACAGTGAGGAGGAGGAGGAGGAGGAGCAGGACAGTGAGGATGAGGAGGAGCTGACCTACGAGGAAAAGCTGGAGCTGTGGCGGGAGCACGGCGGCGGCGACCTCGAGCCGGTCCTCGCGAGCGGCGCCGTCGCCGTCCTCGACGCGCAGTGGGTCATCAGCCACGCCGAGGCGGGCGGCGTCCTCTCCCACCGCCAGGCGCTGCCCAAAGAGGCCTTCCTCTCCCTCGCCGACCTCGTCGAGGCGACCGGCGAGTATGACGTTTCGCTTCCCGTCGCCGCGCTCTCCTACCCGTGGCTGACCAAGGACCACCCCGACCCGCGCGGAGCCAACCTCGCCCGCGTCGCAAGGGCGCTCAAGGCCCTGCTCAGCGAAATTCCCGGGCTCGGCAAACCCCTCATCCCGCGGCTCGGCGTCTTTTGGGACTTCGGCTCGCTGCACCAGCACCCCGACCCCCCCAACGGCGTCCTGCGCACCGAGGAGCAGAACGCGCTCTTCAAGGAGGGGCTGAGCTGCCTCGGCACGCTCTACTCCCACCAGCACACACGCGTGCTGCGGCTGACCTCCTTCCCGGACGGCCACAAGGCGGAGGATCAGCCCGAGGGCACCAACGTGGCCAAGTACTTTGACCGCGGCTGGTGCTTCACGGAGCAGAGCTGGGCTGGCCTGACAAAGGCTGGCTACCTCTCGCTCGACCTCGGCAAGATGCGCGACGGCGTGGAGTACGACTTCGACAGCCTCACCCGCGACTGCATCCAGGAAGGCGGCCGGCGCCCTCCGCTGCTGCCGTCTGCGTTCGCGGCGGAGCTGGAGAAGAAGAGCTTCACCAACGGCAAGGACGACAAGCCGCTGGTGAAGCGGCTGTACGAGGCCGCCTTCAAGGAGCAGTTTGGCAAGGCGACCGGGCTGAACTACCGCGGCCTCGGCTGGGGCGACGCGGAGGCGGCGCAGCTGGCGGAGGTCCTCGCGAGCGGGGCAGCGCCGCGGCTCGAGAGGCTCGGTCTCAGCTTCAACAAGATTGGCGACGAGGGCTGCAAGGCGCTGGCCGCCGCCCTCAAGGAGGGGGCCGCCCCGAGCCTGAAGGCGCGAGACGCCCCCCCTCGCCACACGCCCCTCCCCCGCCCAATGCTCATCGCACCTCCCCTCGCGTGCAGACGCTCGTCGTGGACAACAAGGAGCAGCCTGAGCTGGTGGCCGTGTGCGAGGAGCGCGGCATCATCCTGCGCGGCATCGACCTCGACTGAGCCTCTCCAGCCCCGGCCGGGCGGCGAGGGCGCGGGTTCCTGCGGGACCGCCGCGCGAGCACGGCAGAGAGCAACAGACCCTGCGGCTGCGGAGCATGACGCGCAACGGCGGTGGGGGGGGGGGGGGGGGTCCCCCGGGGGGGGGGGGGGGGCCCCCTCCTTTGGGGGCGCCTTCCCCCCCTTGGGAAAAAAACGCCCGAACGGGAAAAAAGGGGGGGGAGGGGGAAATGGGGCCCGGGTCTTTTTTGGCCAAAAAACCCCCGGAAAAAACCGGGGGAAAAAAAAATTCCAACCGGGGACACCCATGGGCCTTCGGATTGGGGGGTTGCCCCTTTTACCCCCCCCCGGGGATTTTGAACCCCCCCCCCCCCCCGGAAAAACGTTTTGGGGGGGGAATTTTTTTTTTCCCAAAGGGGGCCCCCGAATTTTTT